TACAGTAAGCTTAGGCAGATTCGAATGCTCAGCCCTCTGTTTCCCTTTGTTTGTGATGGATCGCAAAGAATGGCGATGATCTATGAGAACCCGAGGCACTAGTTCAACTCAATTTCCTGACTCCTTCCTGGTCCAAGAGCGATGTACATTCAGTGTCCTCTATAGACCGACGGATAAAAGACCCGGAAGCTCGAACATCGATAACGCTGTCAATAGTCCCTGTACCCTTTGGTCTAACAAATAATAGTAGTCAGCTCGATCAAGGTGGGCTTGCAGGCTTCATTCGGACTTCGTACAAAGTACTTCCTTCGTACCAAAACACTATCCATAGACGCAGATGCTACTCGTCGATCGGTGCATACCAATGCATCCGATTCGCGCCTCGTGGCGTCGTCGTTCGCTTGCATGGCTTGGCAGCCGCAGGAGGGCACCGGTGGGAACATGACTCGGGGTCTCATTCGCCCCCGGAGTCGGAGACATCACAAGGGATGCATCCATAGCCCAGGAGTAAGTCGTTGGCCATCAATGGTACGAGGTAACTGATGCTGACGTCCAGCGACCGTGGGATTGGGGGCCAAACTGAGTTCCCAATGCCTACGATCCTTGCGGTTAAAAGTTTATTGAGTTCATATAGATTCATATACCCAGATTAAAGGATCGCGGTCGGAACCATATTGATGGGTAAGGTAATATGGCACGTGGATGATGGCGACGTGAGAATGCATTACTACGTACTAGTACTCTGATAGTGGGAGTAATGCTGCATTTTTGAGAAAAATCCATCTCAAAACCAGATTAATTGAGAATTAATTTCACGAAGACCCATAGAGGAAGGATCTATGGTCAATCCATTGTCAATGGGCCCGCGGGTCATCGGCGAGGCCGGAACTTGACTCGAACAAGTACGTACCTACTGGCTATCTATCTGCTGGATATCCCGACTAATTAATCGTCAACTGCTGGATGTTTCCCCAGCCGGACAGTGTGTGTTGGTGCAGAGAATGATTGAGGATACGGAGAGCTCCGTACTAAACCACGTATATACCGGGTACTAATATCGTTTTGGTATTATAACGCGTTGTGCCACCCATAACTCGCAAGGTTATTACTTACTGACTAGTAGCTTACGGGCGGTAAGAAGCATTGGACCTTAATGCACTCCATTTCCAATCGGCTCGAACCAGGCTAAGAGCGGACGAAGAATGAATGGAGCCATTCATCCACAGTTGAATGGAGTTCCGGGGTGGGTCAGCATTGTTCGTCTACAACCAGTGAGATGAGGGCCAGGCCGTCTACTTTGTACAAGGAGCTCGCAGCCGGGATGCTATCACGGAACTAAACGACACTAAGAAGCCAAGGGCTTACGGCTAAGGCCCTTAGGGGACGGTAGCCACAGCGGACTAGTCCCTTTCTAGATTTTCAGAACGGGGCCCAATGCGACGCCGGAAATCTTTCACACGGTTTTCACAGGTAATACAGGCCCCGGTGTCAGGGCCACTCACAGCCGAAGGTCCCCAGAAGGATGACTACGCCGAAGGGGAACTAAGCCGGACTAAACTCACTAGCAGCTCAACTCTGCTGGCACCGTGGCCCACTTCGATCGGACTTGATGGATTATCGAACGAATTGCGCGACGACTCCGCGACCAACATTCCCACCACTTACTCCTCCTCCTCCTTCCCTCTGCTCACTGCTAAACTAACTAAACTACTACTATTATTATTACTACTACTATAGACCTGCGAGTCTCCCAGACTGTCCTTCTCTCTCTCTCTCTCTCTCTCCTCTTTCTCTCGCTCCCTCTTTCTTTTTCTCTTCCTCTCTCTCTATCTCTTGCTTCTCGCCCTGGTCTTCCGCTCTTTTGCTTGCTTCGGTTGCGATACGGCGGAGATGTACTAATTTCCCTCCCCCATTCCTACCTCCCTCCCATCTTTCCCCTCACCTGAGCGTCTGCGGTCAGCATCTTCGCCCACCACCCACGAAAAGGGGAACGCCTCGAGGCTGCAGTCAGCATACCTAGCGAACTCTTCCCCAGCATTTAATTTGGAAGACATCCTCCGTTCATCAGCACTTCAATCTCGAAAGTCGTGCCAACTTCCCGAAAGCCTCTCACTTCCGCGATCGACTCCGTCTCACTCAACACCTGTCTAAACCACCACCCAACCTAGCCTGTCGAGGGACCTTCGTCGTCACATTCCTTAATTCGATCCCATATCTCCCAGATTTCAGAAAGCTCCGGACAGCTGCGCTGCTCGCCAATTAACTTGGATATCGTTCTCATACAAAGCGGGGGACAATTTGCGACAGTCGTATTGGAACACACCTTCGGCTTCCATCCCACCAGGACATCTTGCTTTGGAGTAGGGAATACCGCGACGTACGTACAGTGACCGAGTAACGTTCAACTTGACGTTATTTGAGCTAGCGACATGTTCTAATTTTGCGCCATTTGGGCGGGTTTAGTCAAAGATACATTGGCTTGGTTCTAGTGCTTGGTATTACATTCTGCCTTAAGTAAGTTTCGCTGATTTACTTTCTCGCTTCTTTCTCATTGCTCGAGACCTCGGGTCTCTCTGGTTGACATTTCACACATGTCTCAAAGAGAGCCTTCCGTGTGGTTAACTGCGGGGTCTGGGCGTATCCCTGATTCAGCCATACTCGGCTTGTGCTGCGTCTATTCTTGGTCACTTCGCACACTATAATCAGCAAGTACTAACTCACTTCCAGACACCATCGAAAGTCACTTTGTGAGAGCACATCAATCTTCAAAATGGGTTGCATGAGTTCAAAACCCGTCGACACGGCGGATAAAGACGCTGTTCAACGAAGCGCTAGGATAGAAAAGGTTCTGAAAAATGACAAGAAAGTAATGGACCGAACAATCAAGATTCTCCTCCTTGGTAAGTTCCCGAAACACGTCGAATTCGCAGTCATGGAGACGAGGAGTACTGATGCATTCTATTTTTATGTAGGTGCTGGTGAATCGGGCAAGTCTACAATCATCAAACAAATGCGAATCATACATTCCGGCGGCTTCCCCGAGGATGAACGACGCCAAACACGAGCTGTGATCTACTCGAATCTTGTTATCGCCTTCAAAGTTCTACTGGATATCATGCGCGCCGAAAACATTGATTTCCAGCTTGAAAAGACACAGGTAACTTCATCTGCTCGGTTGTCTTGCGATTTTCCATCGCAAGCGGAGATCCGTTTGTGGCAGTATGTGTGCTAATTCAGTTTGTCATTCATCAGCCGTTAGCCGAATATGTTGACAAGCTTGAGCCAGACGTCGGTTCAGACGAGGCATTCTCAGATCTCAAGGTTCGCGACGCTCTCAGAGAGATGTGGGACGATACAGGTGTTCAAAAAGCTGTTGCTCGAGGCCACGAGTTTGCTCTTCATGATAACTTGCATTAGTGAGTCCTAGGAACCTTCTTTTTGAACAAACAGGCAAGCCGTCTAACCTTTCAGCTTTTTTGATTCGCTTGATCGAATATTCACTCCTGGGTGGCTTCCCGACAACCAGGACATGTTGCAGGCTCGTTTGCGGACAACCGGAATTACTGAAACTCTCTTTGAACTCGGTCAAATGAACTTCCGAATGATGGACGTCGGTGGACAGCGATCCGAGCGAAAGAAGTGGATTCACTGTTTCGAGGGTGTTCAATGCCTTCTATTCATGGTTGCCCTATCTGGTTACGACCAATGTCTCGTTGAGGACCAGAATGCCGTACGTTTTCCCCTATCGCCTCCTTGAAGCACTTGAACTAACCGTTGTTCCCCATCGTGCAGAACCAAATGCATGAAGCAATGATGCTGTTCGAGTCCTTGGTCAATGGCGAATGGTTCAAGCGCAAACCGATCATCTTGTTCCTGAACAAAATCGATCTGTTCAAGGGAAAGCTTCATGTTTCGCCTGTCTCCAACCATTTCCCTGACTACAATGGCTCCAACACGGACTTCGATGCAGCAGCCAGATACTTTGCAGACCGATTCCGGGGCATCAACCGGATTCCCGACCGAGAAATCTATATCCATTACACGAATGCTACCGATACGACGTTGTTGAAGGCAACAATGGATTCGGTACAAGACATGATTATTCAAAAGAATCTCCACACCCTCATACTATAAGGTTGTGAGATTTGGAACGATTTGAATTTTTACGAGCGAGTACGAGGCGTCAGCGATGCTCAACTTCCATTCTTCCCCTGCACACGCCAAGCGGTAAAAGCACGCTTGCTTTCATTCAACTATTTTTATTCACTTCACTATATCCCTTCTCTTCCTGTACGTTTCTTTCTCCATGTGGACTTCTTGTCTCGGCTTTTCATTCCTTTCAAAAGCTTATATGTTTTCTCCGGTTCAGCGACGGGTGCATTTCTTATATAATGCAGATTGATACCATATACCATATGTTGTTTGCGTCCATGTCTGCGCTTTCTATCCCACCTAACGAGCTCTTTTTCCATTCTCTTGAGCTGAACCTTTGTGTGACCTTGACGCCTCCCATGTATCTTTCCTTTTCTTCTTCTCTGTTGGCATAATGAGCCCCCACCCACCCTATCATAGGCTCGTGTCACTTCTGGCAGCTCTAACTGGGAGCTGTATCTTCTGTATCCGATCAGTCAGACTCTTCTAAGTATAGCTGCCCTTATTGTAATTGTTCGGCTCAAGTGAGCATGGAACGAACAGATACCCAAATCGAATTCATATAGTGTCATAGTTCCTGCAATGTAGTACGTATCACTAAACAATCGGTAGACTCGCTGGTAGTATTCAATTCTATCAGCGACAATAGGTAGTTCTGCATGATGATCTTCACCGTTCATGAGTTGGCATGTGGATAAAGTCAGGCGAGGATACTGCCATTCCAGGTCACCTGATCTGGTCTCGTGCCTGAGGCGACAGGCAACTTACATAATCGCCGAGTTCCGCATGATCGGCTCCAACTTCGATTTCGCCTCTTCATTCCCGACAACATCGTCACCCAGCTTCTGGGCTTTACGACGTCGGAAAATGCTGTCGTCCTCACTGCGCCGGGCTGCATGGGCTCCTATGGGGCCCATCGCCGGCATGTCTCGCGCAACCAGCCAAAGTATTACTACCTCCGCGAACGGCCTCATCGGCTCGTCACAACATGTGCGTCAACGCCGATACTCCTCTTCGTCCTCGAAACCCAGCGATGGATCTAATAAAGTCGATTCTTCCTCTCAGACGCCTGCGAAGGGAGTGAATTCTGCAGAGAAACGTGAGGGGAAGGCTTCCAGACGGAGGGGCAAGGATAGCAACGGCCGCAATGGCTCCAAGCAGCCGACGGCTTTTTCCCGACTTCCCAGTGTTCCCTCTACCCAACACCTCCAGCCGCATGGTTAGTTGCCACAATCCCTCTTCACCGTTCTTGTACCTCTAGATTATGATGCGCTAATCTTTTTTTCCTGCGGTCTAGACGTTCACGTCGCCTCCTTCTTTTCCATCCACCGACCCATCTCCGTTTCCACCACCGTTCCTCCGACCTCGACCCCCGAAGCCTTCGACGCCATCTTCACCGCAAAGAAGCCGGCTAAGCCTGAGGTGGACGATGTCATCTTCACCCTCTCCTCCGCCGTCAACTCCATGGAGAACTCCGCTGCCCACTCCGGCGAGCAGGAGGGCTCTCTGCAGTATTTCGACATGGAAGGCAACCAGCTGGATGGCATGAACCTTTCCGATCTGAAAGTCTCCGTCGAGGAACTCACCAAGCGTCTCCGTCCCTTCCACCCCCCTCCGCCGCCCGTTCCCTTCGACGAAGCGAAGAACATGGCTTCCTCCGAGTTCGAAGACGTCCCCCGGGAGACCTCCAGCTACTCCACCGTCCTGACCATCCACGAGTCGATACACTCGGATGGTCGCAAGACCTACGAGGCTCACACTGGTCCCTTCGTGCCCTCCGGTGAGATGGAAGCTCCTGGTGCCATTGGAGAGAGTGAGGCCATCATTGATGTCCCCCACAACTCCGGCACCACCTACATGGAGCGTATCCGCAACAACCGCACCATGCACGCCATTAGCACCAAGAGACGTCGCAGACTGAAGATGAAGAAGCACAAGCTGAAGAAGCTGCGCAAGAGGACAAGGACCCTGAGACGGAAGCTTGAGAAGGCTTGATTGACTTCATTCAATCATCTGAGACCATTACCATTTGCTTGCAGCTATAATTTTCTTTTCGCTACGCTACAATCCGAATAAACCTTCCTCTTGTTATCCATCTTCCTCTTTTATCTATCTACATACTTACAACTTTACCTCCCTCCAAGCCTCTGCTTCACAGAGAAGTCATCCCTAGACTTACGCATCTGAAGCTTTGCGTTTATTGATTTGCTCTCCGCATGTATGTGTGTGTGTTTGGCGGCGACTACTGATATGCCTGCCTATATCGCATATATCCTTACGGCGTCGTCTTGTTTCTTTCTGCCTCTTTTCTCTTGAACATTTGGATGTCCACCGCATTTTATTCCGCTCAATAGACAGTACTTTGTATGTTACATATTGCTATTTTGTCTATCTGCCCTGCTTGCTCTGTGCAGGTCAGTTGCAATGGTATCTATATTGCTTGAGTTTGGTTCCTTGGAGAGAAAGGCGCTGGTCTTGTTTCAGTGTCTTCTGAGTTATAACAGTGTACGAGGTCGTAAACATACGTCAAGTAAACGCACATTCGCCACTTGTTGCATTCATGATATACCGAAGAACCAGGATAGGTAAGAGCTAAGTCTGTAACATAGGTCCATAAACTAGCAGGAGAAAACATATAAGCATTGCAAAGCAAGTAATCCTATGATCCAGCTCAAGGATACAAAAGAGTAAAGCGACACCCATAAAGTACAAAATCTCAAAGGCCTTAAAAAAAACCATGCAATGTATCTACCACAGCCTTCCACCCTGTCCTAGTCTACAAACTTAGCTAGCACATCCAATTATGTCTTGTCCTTTGTTATTTGGGGGTGTTGTTGAGTGAAAGAGAAAGCATATGTTTATTCAACGTCCGTTTTCTCTTTCCAATCCCCTAGTAATCCACTTCCTCCACAACCCCTCCAGCTGTCATCGGGACAATGACGGGAACCGTCATTGTCGGCAAATAAAGTCTGAAAACATAAGTCAAAATAACCGCATCACGTTAACACATGTTGAGCAACCCGGGCTCTTTTCGTCGTATCCGAGAATAGTGGGTGATTGGCATCCTCGGGCGGGTGTTCACTTGGGCCATTTCGCGCGGAACGAAGGAGGGTTCGTTTAGCAGGTGGCGTCGATCCTCGAACGGGAGTTCATCAGAAGAGCAACGATAAGACCGTACAGACCTGTGAGGCGTCGTGGTTAGATGATGCGAACTGGTTGTTTCGCTTTGATGTAATGACTCACCCAAGACTTCAGCGAAAATGAGAATCAAAATCATTCCGACATAGAGACGGGGCTGTTGAGCAGTTCCACGAACACCTGCGTCACCAACGATACCAATGGCAAAACTAGAGATACTCTGTTAGTCTAAAGCTACCGATATTGCAAGGTGCCATGGTGAGAAGCTTACCCAGCTGCCATACCAGCCAAACCGACGGCGAGACCTGCTCCCAGCTGAATGAAACCAGTGTACAAGGGGACCTTCTGTCCCAAGTCGTTTGCAATCAGGACCGACACGACCAGGCCGTAGATACCGATGATACCCGCCATGACAATGGGGACAATGTCTGTATCACGAGATTAGTATTATATCATCAGAAATCGCATGCGATAGCTTGTCCCAGAGGTATAATAGCTCTGTGAAGCTTCCACGTACTCTTGACGATCAGGTCAGGTCTGAGGACGGCCATTCCACAGACACCGACACCAGCCTTGGCAGTTCCATAGGCAGCTCCGAAGCAGGTGAAGACGATGGCTGAGGTGCAGCCAAGGGCACCGAAGAAGGGCTATACGAGTAGTAGATCAGTTATCTGTGCGAGAGGTGCCAGTTCGATGGCGGATTCTCCGCTTGATGCAACGAAGCCAAGCTACCTTGAGGATCGCTTGGAGCTCGATGGTGTCATCGGCGAGGGTGGGATCACAAGTGACTTACTGCGTAAACGGGGCTATCATGTCCAGATGTCAGTATATCCAGTCGAAACTCATCCGAAGCATGATCGAAATCGAGATACAAGAGGGCACAATGGTTGGAATGCTGGGAAAAGGAGTAGGTGAGGTGATTACGTACCAAAGTTCGGTGGCCATCTTGACAGATTAGGCGACCTTGCGGGCTATAGAAGATGGAGTGAAACTATGAAAACAGCCGAAAGGAAGAGTGACAGGGCAGGGACAGGCCGCGTGTAAAACGATGTGGTGATGTTGAGGCTTGGGGAAGCGAAACGGAGATGAAGGCGTGAAGGCGAACACGCTGGAGGCTTCGGGGAGGCTGACCGACCACCTGCGTCATCACGTGATGGCGGCTTGGCGCTGTCCCGTCGGCCGCGCATCACGATAACCAGCTTCCCCACCCAGTCAGTGTGATGAAGCAACAGTCGTGAAACAGACACAGCTTGATGTAGAGATATAATATTTACTATCTACATTGGACACTATGAGCAATTCTCTCTTTATGTATTGAGAGCCATCGCACTTAGCATTATGTTTTGAGGACATCGGAGGTCTCCGCTCGAGTGATAACTGGATTACGAACCACCGTCTGATGGTCCTGATAGAAGAAAAACTTCATGAAGAGGGCGACTGGATACACATTATCTAGAGATATAAATCACGAAAGCTTATAATTATTTAAAGTGGCTTATACGGCAAGTGCGCAATACCCAAGTTGGCAGGAAGCATCAAGATAACGAGACAGTGATGGGGAAATGCGGAGACTGCGGGAGTAGCTGCCAAGCCGTGATATTTGGATCATAAACGGAGACCCCTACCTCCAACATTATACTTCTCAATCCTTTAGTCGCCCATATGGCATCAGCTATCCATTGCAGTACTACTAGTGTCTCTGGCTCATTACAGATAGGGTCAGTCTTTGGTGATAATATTCTTGAATTATATTCATAAGGTTACTTACGTACTACTATCTATTTCACAGACAGACATAACAGATAGCGAGATCTAGACTATGGATACTCATATCAATCGAGCTAACATCTTCTACCTGTCTTTGTAATAGGTGTTAGCTTATAAAATTATAGTATCTATGTGTATTGAATTTGACATCTTCTTATATAGGATCTTCCCAGTCATTTTTGGTCATATTTTTTTTTATATCCACTAACTCGTCATACCTATTTTACTTGAAGGGGGTTACAGTATTAGGGTGCCCTCTGTCAATATGATGCCAAGAGTCAAAACAGCATTCTATCACAAACAGCCACAGACGCAGTGGGAATATCGTAGGCTCATCATGCGCATTGTTTCATGATTTTCATACACTTGCTTGCAACGCAGTTATATCATGTGTGAGGGAGACGGTATTTTGTCATTCAGCTGCATCGTATCTGACAGGGGTTTGGTACCATGGGCTGAAGAGTCTAATGATATGGCTTCTAGTGTCCCTGTAAAGAGTAATTAATTGATCAACAGAGCATACAGTGGGTTTGATGTACTTCAATTTAGTATGGTCCTAATACTATCCATGATAGTACTAGGCTACATACCTTTTATTGACTGTGCACACAATAAAACTAGGCAGATGTTGAATCTGCAGGTGCCAGGAAATGTTACTGCGCCTTGCGGGTCACTTGGCCATCTAAATATATCTCTGGCGAGATGCTTCTGCAAGATAGGGCTGACCATAAGCTTTGAATTGTATAGCCTGGAGAGACCCACCATCATAGCCAGGCAGTGTTTTTATTAAACTGCTGGCTGAAATATGCGGGGTGGCCAGGATGTTCTGTTCTAGAATATAGCAACGACTCAGTGTGGCTTGGACTGCGGCGATGCCAATCACATGATACTGCGTCGTCTCAACAGGCAGATTGATCTGTTCTATTTTACTGTATTAGTCAGGATTTTTTTTTTCTCTCGCTGGGCATGGCATAGTGGGATGTCTCCGTCATGATCAGCAGGATCCTCGTAGACATTATACAATATGGGCGTACGTTCTGTTAAAATCATGATGGTAGAAAGATTGATTCGCAATGATGTATTTGCGACATGCGAACGATAAGACATCTCACTATCGAGCACATGACGTCTAAAATCCGGCTGAAACGTGCTTTAATCCAGTGATTATCTGCATAGTTAGTGTAGGCGCTGACGGATAGATGCGTGTCAAATGATATCACTTTGTTTTTTCCCTGGAAATAAGTCTACGCTAGTCTAAATCCTACAAAGTCGAGTACCGTAATGGGGACGCGGCATCTGTCCGAACATTGTTGAAAGCTAACTGGCACCATGATTCGTGCAAAAGGAACCGTAGGGCTGGATGGCCCACCATATCCATGCTGCTTTCCGTCTCCCAAAACCTCCTAGACACGGAGTCATACCCCTATTTCGAACAAGGGATTGCGTAGGGACCCAGATCTAGTCCGATAGAAGCAGTAGGTATGAAATATGATGTGCTGGTACGTCCCACTCAGAACCAAGAGCCCAGACTTTTAGAACCATCTGCACAGAGCGATTTAGTCAATATTGGCGGCGTCTAAGTTAGACTACTGGCGCCTCGCCTCAGCCTGGTAAGGTGGTACGGTGGAAGCGCCAAGCCCCTGCCAGGCAACAGAATAATTATGACAAAGGAAGGAAGGAAAAAAAAAGTAGAAAGTCAAAAAAAAAAAGGTAGGAGATTGGGAGAAAAGGGGAGAAGAAGAGAGCGAAAGTTCTCCCCTTACCGTTGAACAAATCCAGTTGCACCGCCCGATGACAACATGGTTCAGTTCCAGAATTGGAGGAGCATCAGCCACGGGACTGGGGGAGGTACAGAACTGAATACAAAACGTCGATACGACGCAAAAGTCACCCGCCGAGAAGTCTGGTCGTGGTGAGCTCGGAGCCAATCAGCAAGCAGCCAAGGCATCAGCCACAGTTCGTACTGAAAAGTATGACGTAGCGGTAGACATGCACAGCGAGCGGAAAAGGATCGTCCTGACTATCGTTGTCGTCCGCCCCGGTTATTATAATTATCGCAAGCAGCTATTGGTCTTTTATTTTATTACCTAAAGGCGTATCCGTTGAATAATGCGGATTCGAGGACTGTGCTTTACGTAGGAGGCATAGCACCATCCCCCGTAGCGTTTGGCGGAGGGCAGCTACTTAATTTTGCCGCCCATCATTTAAAGAGTCCCTGTGGTCCCGCTCCCTTCCTCTCCTGATTTTTCTTGTTACTCTCCATCATTCATCTACTTGCGCTCAGATACCGCTTCTATCTGGTCATATCCATCACCTGCTCACTACTACTCTCTCCTGCATCAACCTTGCCGACTTGAAGTGATCTACGTCTTCCTCCATTCACAATGCCTTTCACTGCCTCGTAAGTTTTGCAACTCTTCGCGACGTCATCTTTTGGCGATTTTTTATCCAAACGCGCGCATAACTTGACCTTGACAAGCTGGAGCTGTCTTGGGATAGCTTGCGATCGCAATTATTCGAATGACGCGAGCTTAGTGTTTTGAGTGTGCTAACGTCCTTGGAATCATAGGGATATCTGCAAGATCATCTTTGCGATCATCTTGCCCCCGCTGGGTGTCTTCCTTGAGCGAGGATGCGGTGCTGATTTCCTCATCAACATCTGTTTGACAATCCTGGGTTGGCTTCCTGGTGTCATTCATGCCTTGTACGTGGCCTGCCAAGTGATTGTTTTCCGGAGATTCCGAGACTAACTCCTTTCGTTCAGCTATATTATATTCAAATACTAGAACGCTCCTCAGGCCCCTCCTTACCACCCACTTCGGTTCAAAACCCGTCGATTAGGGGGAATAACCTCGTCCTACCTACGATTTTTCTCCTACGGAATCGGATGTTCAAAATCCAGCGGGTCGGAGTGACGTTGTCAACATCTTAGTATTGTTCCGCGGGCTCCCGACGAGTCTAGCCTAATGCAACCCCGCCAACATAAACACCGTCATTGGGCGGATGTGCAGCATGCTCAGTGCGACGTGTGTTTGTGAAAGGGTCTCGATTGTACCTTTTTTTTTATTTCCTTGTTTCTTATCTCCTTGGGTTGTTATTTTCTTATGTATTGCGCATGATACCAGCTCACTGTGTCACTGGGCTTTGCTTTTGTCATTTTCTTCTAGTTGGCAGTGATCAGATTAATGATTGATGACAATGTCAAACTTATTAATCAACCACATTCTGGGCTCGAATCGTAGCTGCTTTTGCCATAAGCAGCCTGTAATCTGCCGAGTGGGTATGGGGAAACACGAGTGCCGATCGGGCCATTCATCAAGTCCCGTGATGCGTCTGTTTCCTAGCCGCCGTTTCACCTTCAGCCCAGTGTCCACACGTCTGACTGGGTCTACACCATCTCAGTTGTGCCTGGTTGCTCTCAGGGTCTTCAGATCGACAACAACCTGAAGGCGCGCGGTTAAGGAGACTGACCCAATTCGATTGTTTGCGCCTTGAACCTCTCGGATCAACTCAATCTGACATCATGTGCTGTTCTTATCGGCAGAGTCGGCGCCAACACGGCGCGTATTTCAACGCCATCGTCCACCCAAAATCCAATCATGCAAAGCGACAGGCCTCCTGAAGAACTGCTTCCATTAGCTACGTGTCTTCTGTTTGGGAGAGGGTTGCCATGTTTCACCCTGGCGCGTATAGGAGGCTTGGACTCCTGATTTGGGTCTCGAACCTTGATTCTCTCTCTTCGCAGCCACTCAGCACCATGGCAAAACGTGGTTTGACGCCCATGTTGGCAGTATGCGGTACATCGTATCGTGCTGGTCCCTGAAGTCCCTCCCTCCCCCCTTCTCGCAGCCGCTGTTGTCTTGAAGTTGGTGCTTCTCCATGCTGTTGGGAAATCATCACTTTTCCAGATCTCAGTATTCTTTGCGCTCTGTCTTTCTTGGTCATCTTAGGATGATATTCTACGGTTATCAATGACTCCAGGGGTTGGAATTCCTCTGTAGCGTCACTTTTTATGTGCATAGGTAATTTATTGACTCTGTGGCCTCCCGTTCGCGACTCCTTGGCTTGCATTATACCCGGCGGCGATAGTCTGCTAACCGAGAACGAAGATGCTATCACAAGATGTTTTTACCTGCTGGACGGTCATTCACGATAATACTGTTGACGCTGACATGCCTCGCCTATGGTTCTCAGACTACTCATCCTACCGCATCAGCAACATCTTTGTCCAGTTTGATTCCAAGCTGTGCGGCAGACTGCGTGGAACAATTCATATCCTCTGATTACCCAAAAGATGCATGCTCGGAGGCGGATCTCGACTGTCTCTGTCGGACGAATACCACAAGCGGCTATACACTTGGGGAAGCGGCATTTCGCTGCAGCCTATCCTTATGTTCTATGAAAACTGTCTTCAGCTCCGACTTGTACGACATTTGCGACTCGGTACTTGGAGCTTTGCCACGGACACATGCTACGATCACCGCGACAGTCATGCCAACGGGATCGATCCCCACGCAAAAGACTGCAACAACGACGACAGCAACGGTGCCATCTACCTCCAGCTCCAGCTCGGCCTCCGACACTGGTTCGGGCTCTAGCTCTAGCACGTTCTCACAACCGACAAGTTTTAGTACTGAGCATACATCGGTAATTACTGAGACTTTCCGAAGTCCGTTGACGGTTCCTACTTCGCAACTTCCCTCCACGACAACGAGTAGCGCTACCAGTAGTGGCCAGTCGGCATCTGCGAGCGCATCTGACAGCAGGCTGGAACCTGCTGCTGTGATTGGAGTTTCGGTTGCTTCTGGAATATCTGGATTCTTCATTGTTGGTGTCATTATATTCTTCTGTTGTAGAAAGGTAAGGCGTCGGAAACAGGATGAAAAGGACCACTTTTTCGAAATCGGAGGAGTCATGTCAGAGCCTCCGGATTTCACATTCCCACCAAGACGGCCAACTGGGCCTCGTCCTATGCCTGGCACAACAGATAGAGATTCAGAAACTTCCAGACTTATAACCCCGTTTGAACCGAGAGCTCAGACACCTGCAGTTGTTGTTACAAGCCCCGGTAATCATCATAATGATAGTCCCATGGGGATGTATAGTGCTGACAGGATTGGTTATGCGGTGACTTCTAATTCTGAAGCCGAGGGATCATTGAGCCAGTCGTCTCCACGGACGATCTCAGATTTACTTCCTGATAAGCCAGCGTTGGGGCTTTACCCGGAACCATTAAGGCTAAGTCGTCAGAAACAGCCCAGACCCCACAGCCATGCGACTCTATTCGAAGAGGATATGACGAGACCACGGAGCGCCTTTGGTGCGCCATACCAGAATCTAAATCAGCCGACTTCGTCAAGCCGAGCTCAAGATACTTGGCGGTATAACCGGGCTCCTATGGCTGGATTGCCTGCGCATCCTCGTGCAATGCTCCACGGTTTTGGGGAAGGCCAGGATGGAAAACTTGCTATGAGAGGTCCGAACTACCGAAAGAGACCTACCTATGCAGAGGGGCAATCAAAGGTTCAGGCCTCCAATCAAGATGACACTTATGAAAGCCTGCTACAAAGCTCTCCGATTTCGGACGCTGGGGATTTTGTCGACCGGGACCGGCAGCATCGCGGTGCGGGACATGTAAGACTTGTCGGACCGCCCTCGTCGCAGAGTGTTGCAAGTGGTCCGTTCCGTGGCACGGACGTGAACAATAGCATGTTGTACAACCTTGATGACAACTTTGAGGACATCGACATCAACGGCTCGACTAGCAGATTGGACCGCGAATCCCGGCATTCGGGAAATCTACGGCCACTCACGCCAGTGCGTGAAATCAGAACGCCAACGCGAGAATCTCCTACACCGAACTGGGAGCTTGTCTCGAGTGACCAACCCGGTCTTCCCCGGATGCCATTCTCTCGGGCAGTCAGTCCCAGACAAGAAATTGTCTCTCGCCCGCGGATTGTACGACGGGACGATATCAAACGAGTCCAAATTCGGCGGAAGCCACATGCCGGAGGGTTAAGTGCACCATACTCACCTGAAGACTACTGGCTTGGTCATGATCCAGGGCCTGTGTTGGAGACTCAGACACGCAGGCAGTCCACCGATTCTTTGCGTTCCATTGCAAGCGTGAGGGGCCACATGCCGAAGAGGAAGCCGGTGCCGTACGAGCGAAATGTAACCCCATCCCGCAGCGGGTCAGATCTAATACTGCGCGTGGATTGACGGGATACGTCTAATCTACGGGGTAGGGGTGCTCCATTTCCCGGCCTTGGCTACGAGTGGAACTTTGTCTTCGGTGGACACAATTCAATACATATATATGTACATGCTTCTGGGGTCCGGTCTTTCCCTTTCTGTTGTATGATACTATGACATATGTTCACTTGGTGGAGCCAGGTATCTTTCTCTTCTTCAAGGCGATTTATTGACGTTTCATTCTTATTCTCATGAGTGTATATATGCATTGGCTACTATGGGTGGATCTATTAGATATGGGCTTTGTAAAAGGCAGCGAATCCGATTGTGCACATACTTACGGGCTGACTCTGGGCTTCGACCCTCGCCCCACTATTTCATCTGTCATTTGGGAGACTCCCATCCACTGATTTCAAAGAAGATGTCTGATGAGATATCCACGTCCGCTGTGTTGTGAGTCAGATAAGGCTGCAGTCAGCTCAGCAGAGAAAATCACGCAAGCGAATCAGAAGGGCTGCAGAGGGCTTTTCCAAACATAGCGCCTTAGGAATGATGCTTTCCACTAGGCCGAAGTGTCAAAAAGGCAATCACAGTTCCAAGTTTACCGCAAAGGCAGATTTTCCATGTGAATCCACTCTCTGCCACTATTCTCTGTGCAGGGTTGTATTGCTGATACGGTAACGATACAGACGGCGGCCGGGAGAGCTCCGCCATGACGTCAGAAGCAGTGATCAGCCCCTGGCGGATGACTGAGGCAGTGAGGCAGCACTATTCTTGGGTGTAGGGAATTCCGGGCCACTTTGAGCATCATGGTTGGCTGTGACCTCACGCTGGAGAAGCACAAGATTAACTGGTTAGCGGACTGGCAAAAGAGGAGGCTCGGAAAGTAACATCCATCCACGATCCTTCGCGCAGATGGTGGCTTGAGGAGACTACGACTAGGATGGATGAATGTAGGTTCGTGCATTCGGTAGTCGGTCCGTTCCCTTTCTTTTTTTTTTTTTCCCCTCCCCTCCATCCCTGCCAGTCCGGTTTATCGCTCAGGGCGGGAATGATCTCGATGGCTTGGGGGAAGGTTACAGTGTAGAATAGCTGGAAAGTAAGGCCACGAGGAGGCGTCATTGGCGTTGATGAAGACGGTGGATTGGGTGTGTTTTGGGCATACAAACTGCACAATTACCGCTTACGTTGTACTATAGTTCCTCGACTGTAGGGATAGAGAGGGTGTATAGTGGTATAGTATAGTATAGCTGTATTATGTATTATTGGTGTTGAGAGTAAACTGTAAACGAACCGGTATTGAAAACTGATGTCAATCTGTCTCCCGCTGCCGTCTTCCTCTCTTTTCTTCTCTCTTCCCTCATTTGCTTCCGTGCCATGATATCAGTCCCCAAACTTGATCAAGGATCCGAATTCACCCAATTCTCATTTTCGCCGAACGAGTGGGTTTCATCCGGTTTTTCTTGATGGATGGATGGCGAGTAAGTTTGAATCACCCATTCCAAGCCCCCCCTCCCATTTTTATTTTTTTTTAATTCTTATTTCCTTTTGCACGGTACCTCCCGGGCGTGTCTTTTGACTACCGGTGCCGGGTTGGCGCCTTGACCGTTCCGCGGAGCGAATCACAATGTCAGCCTCTCCCATCATCATCTAATATGGTCAAGGATTCTTCTTCGATATGTATGGCTGACTGGCTTCTACTAAGTTCTCAGACGCACCACTACTAGACACTATGATCAAATAGGAACAATTCAACTATGTTGTAACTTTGGGTGCAAGTGGGGTTCGAACAACCAGAAACTGCTACCGTTACTGAGAACAAAACTTCCAGTTCACCAGTGAGAATGAGTCTTTTGTTGTCCCGACGCGGTCGATGACGGCGCCACGGGCTGCATCACCCAAGGGAGAATATGCCAGGCGTCCTCCACCGCTTGCTCGTTGACTCCTATATAATGGCTCTAGAATCCCATTGTCTGTCAAAAGGTGGCCCCTCTATCTCTCCAGACTCCTCTCACTCCACTGTATCCATTTCTTACTTTGCCTCCTTCATCTGGTGTATCATACTTCCTCTTTCTTCTGTTGCTTGCTGCACATTGTCAATTCCCCTGGGAACTTGATTTAACTGTGTAGTATATCGTCTTATCAGTGTACATCCTTGCAACGCCAATTGACGTGCATTGCTTGGATTCATTGATCGTCTTGCTTTCCTTGTGATTAACTTGACCTCGCGTCAGCCGAAAGACGTTGCCCCTGAAGATCGACTGACGTCGTTGTCGATTGTCCTCCGCAGTGACCGATTCTTGTTCATATCTTGGGTCCACAAAAGATCCACTCTTCCATTGTTGCCACCCACCGGAGATCCACCTCTACCACTATCCACAATGACAACAGCCGACGGATATGCTACCCCACGGGTAAGCCGGTTGTCGAGCCTGGACGCATCCCAGGCCGACCTCTACGGCGGTCCCAGTGTGATCGTTCCTCCTAAACACTTGATGGCTTCTACCATTTCCCATGAAACAGCCATGGAGCTGGAAGCGGCCAAGCAGCACTTTGACGAAGAGGTTTCCTCTGAAGAAGGCTCTCCTCGAGTTGCTCCGCCTGTGACCAAGAAGGCCCTCACCACGGCTGACGACTTTGCCTTGGCCTTTGATATTGACGGAGTCCTTATCAGAGGCGGCAAGGCTATCCCTGAAGCTGCCAGCGCGCTCAGGTATATCAATGGAGAGAATCCGTATGGCATCAAAGTGTATGTATCAACACCCTCTACCGTACTATAGCGGTGCACCTTTTCAATTTGTAGTCTTATGTGCTGACTGCTCTACCAGTCCTTACATCTTCGTCACAAACGGTGGAGGCAAGACAGAGGAAGAACGATGCGTTGATCTCAGTCGACAGCTTGAGCTCGAAGTCTCCCCCGGCCAATTCATCTGCGGCCATACCCCGATGCGTGAGATGGCCGAAAGGTACCACACGGTCCTTGTCGTTGGGGGAGAGGGCGAGAAGTGCCGTATCGTAGCCGAAGGCTACGGCTTTAAGGATGTCATCACTCCTGGAGACATCATCAAGACTCGACAAGACACTACACCGTTCCGCAAGTTGACCGACGAAGAATACAAGAACTCCCGGGTCCGAGACTTCTCAAAGACGAAGATCGAGGCTATCTTCGTCTTTGCCGATAGTCGGGACTGGGCCGGTGACCAACAGATCATCCTCGACGTTCTGATGTCCAAGAATGGACACCTAGACACCCGATCCGACTCTTTTGACGAGGGCCCGCCTGTGTTTTTCTCCCACAACGACGTGGTCTGGTCCACCTCTCACGAACATGTCCGCATCGGCATGGGAGCTCTTCGAGCCTCCCTTGAGGCGCTGTACAAAGCCGTCACTGGCAAGGAGCTCAACACGATCGCCTTTGGCAAGCCCCAACTCGGCACATACCAGTTCGCTACGCGGTTGTTGCGACAATGGCGCAAGAACACCCATGCCATCAACAAGCCACCCAGCACTGTGTATTTCGTGGGCGATACCCCCGAGTCAGACATTAGGGGCACGAACGAGTTCAACGAGACCAGTGATGCTGACTGGTTCTCCATCTTGGTCAAGACCGGTGTGTACCAAGAGGGCACTATCCCTCGCTATCCACCCAAGAAGACTTGCAACCATATCCTAGACGCGGTCAAATTCGCCATCGACCGCGAGATGGCCAAAGAGAAGAAAGACGGGTCGGCTTTCGTTGACGATGTCGACTCGGAACTTGAGCTAGAAGCGGGCCTTCTGCCCAACTGAGTTCTTTTCTACCGATGGTAGTTGGATGATACAGTTGTGGTGCATGTAGATTCCTATCATTCTTGTTTACTATTACTTTTTTATGGATACCTCTATGCTATGAATGTATGACAGATATGTATTTTTTTTTGAGCATTGGGTTTACTATCTTCACCTTCCACTACACTTTTATTATTGTTAGGAATTTCATCATGAGAACTACTTACTACCTATGCCTCCCTCTAGCAGCACCTCAATCCATTAGATTACTAATAGTAAGCATTTGCCGTAAACCCGAAAGTAGAGTAACGAAAACATGGATACAACCCCCCTGGTCCCTTGTATCAGTCCTCTACAATAGAATGGGTAAAGAAATACTCAAGTACCCACCCCTAACCAAGAACCAACCACCTCGGCCCATCCACTACCTCCCCCAATACCTACTCAACCCAAGAAAACACCCATACTCAAATCAAAATTCTTGTGTAACAAACGCCAACGCCAACCCAATCTATCCTTTCATGTTCCAATCCAATCCCATCATCTCATCCCATCACAAGCCGAAACCGGCACTCAAACTTTCACACAATCTCACGGAATATCCCAATAAGGCAACTCCGATAACCTACCTACGCACACCCCCCCCAGTCCAATACTAACCACATTAACATCCCGAATAAGGTTAGTTAACTTCCTTATGTGGGTGGTTACTGGTTAGTAGTAAGTAGTTAGTAGTTAGGGTATACCCCCCCTCCCCCCTCCCCCCTCCCAGCACTCCGCTCCCCTCTAATACTACAAAGTAATACAGTTATAGCATCCCATCCGTGCGTAATATAGCCAGCTAGCTAGTTAGCTGCACGGCAGACGTCAGATGTATTGTAAGAAAGAAAGAATGCGGGGGAAGGAGAAGGCGAAGATTCCTAGCGCGGTGGGGTCGGTCACTTCCATCCCCTTTCTTTCTTTTTTAGCATGCATGCGGTTATTTGCAGGATACGCTGCATTGCATAAGATGTTCTCTGGTAGTTGTGGGTAATGCATCTCTCTTCCGCCGCTGGGTTCGGGTTCGGGTCTGGGGTACATGATGATTGACATGGCATCAATGAGTACTCCGTGCTTATGCCTATGGGCATATCATATGGTGGTGCAGTGGTGGCTGGATGTCATGTGGGGTGGTATGGGTGGGTAATGGAGGGAAGTTTATCTGTACTCTAGTTTACGGAGTAGATGCTCGACTTACTTGCCTAGTTGGGATTTACTATTGTTTGTGTTGTGTGGTGTTGCGCTAGTGAGGGAGGGTGCTTTGGGGGAGGAGGGGGGAATGTGGGGCTACATGGGGATCTGTGTGTTCGATACGGAACGGAGTACTAGTCTACGTCTGTAGTATGTATAGTAGTGTGGCAGCGGAGCGGGTAGGATCGGTTATGGCTTGTGCTTTGATATTAGGGAGCTGTATTTGGTTTA